CTCAGCAAAGAGAGGAGGATTGGCAGTAGATGTTAGCTCAGGGCTAATCTTCTCATAAAAAAAAAAAAAGTAGAACAACAGAATTGCTGATAAATTGACTGTGGAGTGTAAGAGAAAGCGAGGTATTAACTCTGTTGGGTTGGCCTGAGCAACTGGAAGAATGGACTTGCCATTTACTGATTTGAGGAAGACTGAGAGAAGCAGGTTTGGAAGGAATATCACGAGTTCTGTTTTGAACATGTTAAATTTGAGATGTCTAATAAACATCCAAATGGAGATACTGAATAGGTGATTGGGTATATGAGTCTGGAGTTCAGGCAAGAGACCTAGGCTGGATTATGAATTATGAATTTGGGAGGGCTGAACATATAGATGGTAGTCAACGCCATGAGAGAAAGAGAGTGTAGATGAATAGAGAGGTGGTCCAAGGATTGATTCCTGCCACACTCCAGTGTTTCAAGGGTTAAGAAGGTGAGGAGAAACCAATACAGGACACTAAGAAGGAGGAGCCAATGAGGTAGAAGAAAGCCAGGAGAGTGTGGATCCTGGAAGCCAGGGGAAAGTGTTTCAAGGAGAAGAGAGGCATGGGAGGCATCAACTGTGTCAGATGCTGCTACTTGATCAAGTAAGATAAGAACTGAGAGTTTACCATCAGATTTACCGGTGTGGAGGTCTTTATTGATCTTAATATTATTACAAGTACTGTTGGTGGCATGGATGAGGTAAAAGCTTGATTTGAGTAGGTTTCAAGAGAATGAGAAACAGAGTAGGGAGAGCAAAAATGGACACTTCAAAGAAGTTTTTGTGTAAAGGGAAAAATGGAGGGGGAAATGGTGACGAGAGGGTTCTTTTAGCTTGAAAGAAATATACTGATAAGAAAAATTCGATAGAGAAATGTGATGATGTGGAGGACAGAGAACTGCTGGAGCAACATCCCTGAATAGACAGGGGTGGAACCCACACAAGTGGAGAGATTGGCCTCAAACTGAATATTACTTTCCCTTTTAGTATACTTGTAACATGATAAACTATTATATTAAACATTTCATAGTAAACCATTGCTTCTTCCAGATTAAGAAAATGGATAATTTAGCTGTTGTTGCTTGAACTAGGAAGGTCCCTAATCAGTCTAACTATACATGTGTCAGTAGGCATTATTCGAGGTGAGTGAAATATGAAGAATGTTTTTTAGACATAAAGGCCTTTGTTAGCCAAAAAAGAAATCTTTCTTTCAGCTCTTGTTCTCATTCACTGTCCCTTTACCACTTCACAAAGACATTGATGAGTTTACATCTTAGGTTAACTAAGAATATGATGAGCTATTTTTAGCAATGCCTTCTCAGAGTGTAATGTGGCATGAGTAACAAGTAATTAGATGAACTTTTGTATATCCTTTATATACAGTAGCCTTGGCAAATCTCCCTATTATAGGTAGAATTGCACTTAAAATGACAAATCCTGTAGTGAAACCCCCTAGCTAATGATCGAATGTCCTTTACAACATAAGATCTGATAAGGTACTCGATAGCTCCTGAGTTTTTACTTACTGTTGATTAAGTTCTTTCTCATGTTGAGCCTAAATTGGTTTTCATGTAATTAATTATAATTTGCTTTGACAGCTTTGGGGCTTTACATAACAATTTTAATTCTTCTACATGCCTTTGAAGCAGCTATCATGTTTCACCCGAGTCTTTTTCTACCTAGCAAGCGTTGGTATTCTCTCCTGTTGTCTGTTGGGGTTTTGAGTCCCTTCAGCATCATCAGCTTTAGCTCGTTGTCAGTGTCCCTCTTTAAAGACAGTGCTCAGAATTGACCATATAATATTTTGTGTATTGTTTGATTAGTACAGTCATATAATCTCCCTTTTTCTAGATACTATACCTTGATTAATGCAGTTTATAATCACATTTGTTCTGTTTAGTTGTAGCTATATCATTCTCACAAGACTCACAAAAGCTTAGGAAAACCCCAAGACCAAAATCTCAACCTGTGCATTTGTAGTTATTTTTTGGGCCCAAGTATAGGACTTTATTTAATTCCTTCGTCTTGTTAAATTTGGCCCATCATTCCAAGCTACCAACACATTTTTGCGTTTTCTTCCAACATAGTTATTATATTTCCCAACTTCATGTTACCTCTAAAACTGATGTACCTGCCTTCATCCTAGGTCACTGCTAAAGATGATGAACTGGACGGAGCCAAAGACAGCCTTGTATCAGTCACTAAAAAAGCCATATGCCAGATATTTGTTTAATACCTTCTATTTGCACTGTCCTGATCACTGGGAAATTATAAATAAATAAAAAAATTTTGAGGAGCTCACAGCCAAGTGGGAGAATAGATACACAGAATACAGTTACACAGGGTAATTACTGCAGTGGAATATGAACAAGATAGATTGAGAACACAGAGGAAAAAGCTCCTAAGTCTTCCAGGCAGAAACTTCCTTCCAGATTGTTAGTTGTCTTGTCCTTTAATCAAAAAAGTACAAATCCACCTAATTGACCTGTTTCTGTTTCCCCATCTGGTTCACAAGGATATGGAGAAAGACTCTGACATACGTGTACTGAAATCTGCCCACAATCTATTTACCACATTTCTCTTTTTTACCAGCCTAGTACCCTGCCAGAAAAAAAGAAGAAAATGAAGTTATTGTTAGACTTACTTTTTAATGTAATTAATTTATATATAATATATATTAATCTACATACATACATCTTTAGCAGCAAGAGCAGGGGAAATGTGAAATAGATTAGAATAGATTCTAAAAACCAGAAGAAAAAAATCGAATGAGATTTGCAGGCTGAGATCCCTCAGTTGCCATAGTTGAAGTTCCAAGTTGGGCCTTGTGCTTTCTGATGGCCAAAGCAAAACCAAAAACATGGTGTTAGTTCTCACCGGCTGAGAGGGAAATAGTTCCTGTTCTTAAGGAGGAACAGAGCTTTTGCTAATACTGACAAGGGTACTGTGGGGGCTCATCGAGGATACAGTGAGAGATTTAATGGATAATGTCTGAGCATATATTTCTACTGTAAGGGCACTGTTAGACAGTGCTTACTAATTTTATTATTGGAGAGGAAATTGATCAAAGAACAGATTTAATACTAAAGGCTGAGAGAACTTGTAAAAAGGAAAGCTGTGCAACTTTGAACAAATAAATTCATGGGAGATATGAAATCTTTTGTGGGACTCACCTATAGCTTTCCCAGAACATGGATCTCCCCCAGCACCAGTTTGAGAAGTATTGCTTTAGGCTGTTGTTTATAGCATCCTTCATAAGAAAGGAACACCATTTCCTTGGTAGGTTAATAATATTTTTTATACATCTACACAAAATGATTCTTTGATCAAATAAATATAAGAAGCTCTGATTTAAACAAGTTTCTTTACTGATGGACATCTCTTTAATGTACAATGTGAAACTCCCAGAGGGAGTTTTCTAAACCTTATTTGACCATAGAACCCTTTCTGGGGGTGTATCTGTTCATGAAGCGTAAGTTAGGGAATGAAGGAATGAATATTTTTCATATCCTTCAAACAACCCTCCTCAAAGAGAAAGAATGTGGCAGCCACCTTGTCATATATTTGTCAACCCCAGCCAGGGGTCTATGTTGGGCAATGCTGTTCTTCCCTCTCTCGCTCTCTCAAACTCAGGGTGATGTGGTCTCTTTCTCCCAATACTCTTCTCATTTCCTCATAACAGGAACCAAAGTACAAGTTCCCCTCTTCACTTCCTCTGCCTTTTTCAAGGTGAAACTGTGATCAGAGCAAGTCAGGAACTTGTTGTCACATGGCTTTTTTGCCAAGTTAGACTTCTGAGATGCCCGTCACTGCAATTAACTTTGCTGAATTTGTGACTAGATCAGAGTTTACAATCTGCTTTCTCCACCTGGCTTCCATCCCTCTCACAATATCATTATGTATAGTAAGTCTAACATGTTTCTTTTATAAGTGGTTTTTTAAAAATTTATTGTAAACAGGCAAAAAATCTTGGTTCTAATTGGATTAATTTTGGTTTACCTTAGGAATCCCAAATCCTAAAATGCAAAAAGAGCAAGTATTGTATAACAGTGATTTTTTTTTTTATATAATTTATTTATTTATTGTTTTTCCCCCCAAAGCCCCAGTAGATAGTTGTATGTCATAGCTGCACATCCTTCTAGTTGCTGTATGTGGGACGCGGCCTCAGCATGGCCGGAGAAGTG